TGTAATTGAATTTGTGTAGATAAATATAGCAGATGAATGAGTTGATGTTATATTTGGTGTTAACTATAACGACAATTATGATACCGTTCTGTATCATGTAATTGATAATATTAATTATCATGGTAGTGGTACCGATGGTAGTGGTAGAGTTGCCAACGATGATAGTAGTGGTGGTATTGGTGGAGTTAATGATGGTGGGGATGATGGGGATGATTCGAACAAAACGGATGATGATGGTGATAATGATGATGATACTGATGAAAACAAAAATAAAAATTATTCTGATGATGAGGATGAATTGTTTTAGCTACGAGAAAATGATCATATAAAGTTCTTGCTATGCATCGCTGGTGCTTTACACATGTATTATGCTACTTATATGCATAAGAAACCTTGTATGGTTTCATATAACAGTGGGATGAGATGGTTGAATTAAGTTGTACAAGAACACCAGAAACGGTGTGTTAACATGTTTAAGATGGATGTAACGATGTTACAAACCCTTTGTTATGACTTGGAAACACAGTGTGGGCTGAAAATATAAAAAAAAATGTGTTATTGAGAAGGTGACAAAGTTTTTATACATAATTGCATTAGGTGCAACCAATAGACAAGTCCAAGAAAGATTTAAACATTCTAGTGAAACTATAAGTCAAAATTTTAATGAGATGTTGAAAACAATTTATTTACTTGTTGTGGATATAATTAAACCAAAGAACTCTGAATTTTTAAACACTCCATGGGAAATTGCTATGAATCCAAGATTTATGTCTCATTTTAAGGTGAGCTAAATGATGTTTATAGCAACGAATGACAAAAAAAAATTATTGAAGATTTTATTAGTTGTTATTTATGATCTGTTGGTTAATGTTTTGTTTCGTCATATTTTATAGAATTGCATTAGTGCAATAGATGGCACATATGTTCGTGCTTCTGTTTCTTAGAAAAATCAAATATCATTTATCAGTAGAAAAGGTGTGCCAACATAGAATGTAATGGCCGCGTGTAGTTTTGATATGCAATTCACGTTTGTTTGGGGAGAATAAGAAGGTAACACTTATGATACTCTTATTTTTCTAGAGGTTATTGACAATCTAAATATAAAATTTTCAAAATATCCTGAAGGTAAATATATTAAAATAATTAATTATTAATTAAATTTAAAATATGTGTATTGTATATTTTCTATTATTAAATTAATTATAATTTTTTTACTTGTTATTAGAAAAATATTATTTAATTAATGATGGGTACCCAAATGAGTATGGATGTTATTAGAAAAATATTATTTAATTAATGCTGGGTATCTCAGTCCATATAAAAGTGAGAGATATCAATTCTAAGCATTTCAGCGTCAAAGGCAATCAACCAGTCGAGAAGAACGATTCAAACATGAATACTTATCATTTTGTAATGTCATTGAACGTGTATTTGGAGTGTGGAAACAAAGGTTAATAATTTTACAAAACATACCAACATATCCATACAAATCACAAGTGTAGATTGTAGTGGTATCATCAATGACACTACATATCTGTATTAGAAAGAAGTCACAAGAAGATAATATATTTACAGCATATAATCACAATCCTAATTTTAATTCTAATGATATTTTAGCTGATGTTTTTTCATGTTAAAACCAAGACAATCAAAGGTCTTCTCAAAAGAAATATATCCATGATAGAATAACAAATACTTTAGTGAGATAATTGAAGAATAACAATATTGTAACACTGTTATTTCTTCTATGCATGAAAAAAATGTTCACAAATATTACTAACAACTTGAAAATTAACACCCATCCTTATTAATAATTTTATTAATAAAAATACTTTCAAAAGCAAACGCATATCAATTGCTTATTAGAAAATAATTTTTTCAATTATAATTTTAACCAAATATTTTTTTTTATATACACAATAAAAAAAAAACAAAAATTAATTTTTAAAAAAATATTTTTTACCACCAGCAAACACAAAAACCACCACTTTCCCGGTCACACTTGACAGAATGCACTAGGGGAACGTGGTGATGTTAGAGATGGTCTAGCATTGCATGCTTTAACAATTTCCAGGGTGGCTCTTCTATTGGCAGGCAGAGTTCTGCTGGTCCTGGTACCAAGGCATCCATATTAATGGTTTTCTAGGTGTCTTGCAACTTTGGATATCATGTCTTGTTATGTAACTAAAACAGGAATTTTGCAGATCATATGTTTGCTCGATATTCTATTTTCAAGGGCAAAGTTGTGCTCTCTGTTGAACCTGTTCTTCTGACTTTCTACAAACAGAGCGATATTCTATTTGCATAACTTTCTGTTGCTTCTATACTTCTGTCCACCTCAAACAGAGTTGCTCATCTTTCTTCTTTCTTAACAGTCTGGGAATCTTAGAGTTGACTGACATGGTTCCATGATGTTGACTCTCTTACTTGCTACAGGTGAGCGTAAGTATAACTATGAAATGTGACAGGAAAAGTTTTCTTGATTTTTTCATCACTACTATCTTGCTCTATTTATCAATCATGCCCAGGCCATGTAATTTTTTCACTACAGGACTTGATCACTCCATTCATCTTTTCTTTCTTTAAATTTACATTATATAAATCAAGCAAGGAATATTATGAAGGGATTTTACCTACATTGATGATATTGTGAAGGGTTGTTTGGGTTCGTTGGATGTTGCTGGGAAGAGTACCAGGAGTGGAGGGAAGAAGAAAGGGTCGGCACAATTGAGGGTTTTCAACTTGGGGAATACATCTCTTGTGCTAGTTACTGATCTTGTTAGTGTTTTGGAACGGCTTTTGAAGGTTAAGGCTAAAAGGAATGTTATAAAGTTGCCACGCAACGGGGATGTTCCATATATACACGCACACGCAAATATTAGTTATGCTCAGAAGAAATTTGGATATGAACCTACCACGGATCTGCAGACACGGTTGAAGAACTTCGTGCAGTGGTACCTCAGTACTATGGAGACAGGAAGTTTGTTGGGCGAAAGCTTCAACTTAGTTTTTTTCATCTCCTTCCTTACAGCATACTAACTTACAATAGCGTCAGCTGAATATGTGCCAAGCTTGCATGCCATGACAGCTGAAGAACTACGCCTTATCAAATATAAACTACCATCTTATGGGTCAAAAGGAAGACCACCTGCAATCAAATTTAGGTCATCTGGAAGGGTATAGGTCGTCTATCAGGCCAGGATTCTATTCTTTCAAAATACTTGATAGGTATGGTGCCGTCAAAACCTTCTGTCAAAATCACCCTAATATCTGAAATGTAAAGCTTCATTCCCTCTGAAATCAAACATAATTGCAAACACAGAACAAGGAATCAGTTATCACCCATGCCTGTCCGCCATTGTACTAAGTTTTTACTCAACATGTATAAATATTTTATCTAACTTGATATCCAGTTGAAAAGATCAACAGTGTTGATGTTTATACCTTCAAGTGCTTTTCTGACATCAAGAAATATCAAAACATTAACATCCCGTCTCATACCTGAAAGATGAAAAGTCAAATATATCATACAAAGCCATCAACAATCTTAAAAAGTATGCTAAGTGATTTATCAATTAGATAGCCTTGCTTCATTGAACATGAGCTAATCAAGGTTCAGATTTGAGAAACAATTGCAAAAGGCACCAACAAAAGATACTCCCAAGTAGCAACTAAAGCACTCCCTCCCTTCTTCCATTACTGGCTTTCTTTCAAATTAGGGCTACAAAAAGGTGTTCTTGTAAACATTGGAGCACTTAAGTAAAATATAATGAAATGACCTGCCATTTGTTACCACGGGCAATTTTTCTTTTTAGTCATGTAGATGCTGGCCAGTAAAATTCAGATCCATAAAATTTTGGTGAAGAATTGCTATTTTGGGAAGAGTTCATACTAAACAGATAGGCAGACTCTATTGTCCCCCACCCCACAACCTATGGAAAAAAAACTTGCGCTCTACATTTTGACTCTTCCTTCAAATCTTAAAAGACAATGATCGCATGATATCTCTAGAACATGAAGCCATGAATGTCAAAAGAACAACTTTAAAGCAAGTTTCCTTATGTATCTTACCACCAATCACTTCAACATCTGTTGGCAAACCACTGGAGAAGTGAACATGCAATCTTTGCATTCTCTTTAAACCAGATTCCAAAATTGAGTCTAGATTCTTCTTATAGGTCCCATGTACACACACTGCATTAGGAAAGGAGGTAATAAACCAAATAATAACCTAAAAAAGCGGGAAAATAGAAAAGTCATATTTGAGAGGATGGAAATATAGCATAGTAGTAACTTTTACCTGTAATTTCCTCGGGCAAAAGAATTGCTTTTAACAGACTTTCAGATTCAACTGTCTGCACATGCATAAGAAACCCGTTCAGACTAAACTAACGCACATCCTTCTTCTTTTGAGAAAACATCATAATGAATGACACAACACCCTAGCATACAGAGAACTGAGACAAATTGTTTTAACATAAATTCAAGTGGTACAAGGAAAAATAGTGAGACCTGTGTAGTTCTGTAACAAACAGTTTTATGGTCACAAGTATGAGGAACATATATGTCAAAGTTAACAAAGCATAAAATTTGTAAGTAAACATAAATTTCATAAACAGCATAAAATCTTCTCATTTTCTGTTTCTTTAATCCTAAAGTGAATATTACAAATACATCCAAGGTTCTAAATTGAAGGATTAAAATTTTCATCCAAATTGATTTTCAAACATTTTCCAGATAAGTTAAGCTAATTATTTTGCTTCGCTACTAGTGCCCTAAGCAATCAATAAAGGCATAAATATATCAAGAATTATCAAACATGTTGGGGCAGCAAAAGCATGAGAACAATTTTGTTGTGTTATTATTGCAAAATCTCACTCTTAAGACACAGTTGAATGTCCAAGTTTTACTCGTAATCACAAAGATAACCTACTGGGATGAATAAATTGTTGTTTCACAGTAAATATCTATCACCATTATCGAGTGGCCTTGGTTAGCACGTACCAGAAGCTCTCCACCTTCTTCCAGGAGGCTAAGTCTCTGCTTATTATCTTTTCTAACAGCCTGAATTTGCAATAACAAAAGATGTTATCTCTAGGCAGCTTATTCAAAAACAAAAATAAATAAAGGTATAGAACTATATTGTGCGGAGTGATGACAAATTTAAATAATATGAGCTACAGGTGTTGGGTAAGTTTTACAGAGAAGCCAAACCTTCTGTTATAAATTTAGCAATTGTAAAAATCATATTTCATTAACAGCCAGATAAGAATCTGGTGAAATAGAATATAAATACATGTATCTTTTATCCATCATAACTGTTCTTACCTCGTACATAGACATACAGCAGCCATCAATATTATGGGAGTAAGAAAGTAAATAAACATGCCCTCAAACATCACAACTTACTATTTAATGGTGCTTTTATGGTTGGAAAATTTGTATTCCAAAAGAAGTATGGTAAGAAACCAAGTCTAAAAAGGGAAATAAAGTTATAAGATCATGTCCTACGAATTTACAAACATCCTTGGCCATCATTCGTCAATCTCTGTCAGACACTCTTTGAAACATCAAAGCAAGTAAGTTTTCTATCAATGCATGAAAAAAATGATACAATACACGTAACGCAAGCTATATGCTCCCTCATCCCACATTGTTTTCCTAGAGAAATCAATGCTCAATCAACTAGTACTAAGAAAATCATTTGCTAACAGGAACAAAGATGCAAATGCATGTAAAGAAAAGTATTTACTAAACCAACCTCTTTAACATCATCATCAGTATGTAATCTTAACGGAACATTAGCAAATGTTTTCATATAGAGCTTTAGTAAATCCTCAACTTTGACAAACCCATCACATCGCATATTCAAGTTCAACTCTGAAGCCTTATGACGCAAGATCCACGTCCTGAAAATGTTCAATTATGTACTTGAAAATCTAAAATGTTAAGAAAGATTTCAAAATATAATTTTTATTATTCTTTAAAATATTAAAAAAAATCTCAAGATATAATTTATATTATTTTTTAATATATTTTTTTCAACATGACACTTGTACACTTGTTCATGTTAACACTAATTTATACTTAATTTTATTAATTATAATGGCATAATGAGATTCAAAACCATTACCGGTTGGTTAAAAAACAATATAAGCCCAAAAGCTGAAGTTATCACCTAGATATCATTTATATTATTACGTGACAAATTAGACACAGAATCAACAAAATTGTTTCACATAATTCATAATATGCTTCCACTAAAAATTAATAATCTCTACAAAAATTCAAAACATAAAGACAAAAAAAAGTGTAATCTTCAAGGTTGTGCTCACAGAAATCTGCCAAGGGCATCAATTTTATCTTTACTAGATCCCCCTCTACCGCGGCCTCGGCCTCTAGACCCTTCTCTATCGTTTTGCATCTCCAAGCCTCTTCCTCTGCCACCCATGCCCAATTTTGTATTTCAGAAGAAAATCAAACAAAACCAAGTGACAAGGGGAAATTATATCAGATGAGCAGAATAAGAAACGTACCCTCTATTGGAATGAGAAAAGGAAGAGCTCATGTTGTTGCTTGTATTGTTTTTTATGGAAGCAGCAAAAGCAAAGGGAGGAGACCGCTTATGGAAAGGAGAGGAGGTTGCAAGATAGATACGACAGCAGCCTAGAATTCGAACACTGCTTGCAAAAAGCTCACATATCATATGGAACTCTGGAACGTAACTACAGTGCAGAACTAAGGGCTAGGAGCCCGTACCCTGCAAAAATTTAAAATTCCCCAGAAATAAACCAGTAGGGGTTAGTGGCTGGAATGAGGGATTGTAGGACAGGGGAGCGGAGCGAAATGAGATTTTCCAAATTGTCCACGTATCATGAAACTCGCTTCTCCTTTCTTGGTTTAATGAATTTTTTCGGACAAAATTACCCATAAACTTTTCATCTTGTTACAAATATATCCTCTATATATTCTCATCTTGTTACAAACTTTTCATCTTGAACCTTATGCCCTAGCTTCTTTTTTTTTCTGGGCAGCGATTCCATTTCATTCTTCATTTCTATCTCTCACAAATATATCCTCTATATATTCTCATCTCATTGAACCTTATGCCCTAGCTTTTCTTTTTTTCTGGGCAGCAATTCCATTTCATTCTTCATTTCTATCTCCCCTGTGGAAATTGCAATCAAGTTCGTTACTTTTTGGTGATTTGAGGTACTTTATTTCTTGAGCCACGTTTTATTTAATATGTAAATGAACTTTTCTTCTTTTATTTACGAATTTTTTTTCATTTTGATTGGAAATATGAAAAGGGAGGTGGGTTTAATTTCAGATGTACATTAGTGTAAGTTTATATTATCTCTCTTTAAAAAAAAAAAAAAATTGTGGTGGCAGGTCAAGAAAGCTCTTGGTTCGAACTGGGCAGTGTTTTCTTTTGAATGGCTTTATTCTCTTATGAAGGTAACACTAACTCTTTCTCTCTGTATATATAATGTTTTTGATGGAATCTAGATCATTTATAGGCTGTAATGTTATCCGGGTATTGGTTAATTTTAGAGAAAATTTGAAGAATTTGAGAAAGTATGCAAAACCCACATTGTATTGGTTTATTGGATTAAGAAAGACCAAAAACAGTTCATCATTAGTTATTTGATGATATGAATATTTGAGTCTTCATTGCCCTGCAGCGTAATAGGTTTGAAGGGAATCTTGATTCTGGGGTTGTTGATATGAATGCTTACATTATTGAATTACAAGGAACTCACAAGGTATACTTCCTTGCTATTCTCTTACTTGCTATTAGATAAGAATAGAGGTGGTTTAGTGGAGGCTTTGTTTCTGAAAATTCCAGTGGTGGTAATTCAAAGAGAAGTGCTTGTGGTGGGAGTTTTTAGTTCATAAGTTATGCTTGGTTTGCATCAAACAGGAACGATGCATTTTTATTTTAGTTTTTATACTTATAATATATCTTCTGTTTGTTCTTGATCAATTCATTTCAGTGATTGTTTATTCCTTTATATAGGACTTGGTTAATGAGTAATCTTGAAATTTGTAGAGTTAAGATTTGTGATAATAGAAGCAATAAAAGAAATAGATCGTCCTGTGTAAAAAAAAAAATAAAGCAATGAAGAAAATCTGTAACTTAAGGCCTGCAAACAAAAACCTTTGATTAATGCGTGAAAAATTATTTATAGTGGTTTAGCTCCATCGTTCATCTAGTTTTTACATGTTTTTATAACCTCTTTCTCTCTTTGCAATTCCAAATAGTATATCAATTAACAAACCCAGGTTCTAAAAAGCAAAACAAAACCATTTGTCTCTCCAAGGATATAGCTAAGTTTGTTCATAATCCCTGTGCATAAAAAAAATTGTTTTCAATGTTTTGTTTCCCTTCATGTTTCATAAGCAAAGTCAGGCCTGTATTTTTATGAAAATATGCAATATGAGTTGAAGAAAACTGTATTCTCAATGTTAAGTCATGATAAATTTTTAATGCAAAGCTGGTAGTTTTTAGTTCTTCATTTAGTAGCTTTGGTTCTAGTTTTTAAAGAAAAAAACAGTAGCATGAAATGAAATACAGGTTTTCTTTGTTCTCTTCATCTAATGGTAGTATAATTCTTTTTGTCCCAAGCTTACAGTCTGTTGTTAAGAAAAGAGAAAAAAGCAGTTCATCATGCTCCTGATTCATAAATGAGGAAAGGAAAGTGTGTCCAGTAGCTCGTTAGTTTTTTCTGGTAATAGATTCATCCCTAAGTTATCACTTCCCTATTTGTTAAGTCTACAACGTGGACATATCTTACTGATGTTATCATGCAAAGTTATTCCTCGTTTGCAAGTTGTAAATTTGCAGTCCAGTTTTCTCGAGAAAAAGAAGCAATAAAGCAATTTTGAGTCTGCAAAGCATGAAATGAAAATGCACCTAGTTTTATTAGTTCACATTTTGTTTATATGATCTTGACATCTCTCACATTTTATTCTCTGATGATCCTCTCTCTCCCCCACAACACATTTTTAATGTTCATTATTAAATAGTTTCATCTTCACTTCATAATTTGCAAGTTTTGGAGGACAAAGCTTGCCATTAATGCTCCAAGTGTTCAGCAGGCTCCGGTGGGGAACAGTAATCCTCTAAAACTTGTGGTTACTGTCCTGTATACGTGCCCAGTTAAAGCCCTCATCTCCAAATTTCATATGCCCTAAAATTACAAACCCTGAAAAAACTCAGAAACCTCTTCTCTTCCCTTTCTGCCTTGTTATTAATAATAATCTCATAAAAACCAAGGAGGAAGATGAAAAACAACATGATGGACATGTGGAAAATCGTCCACATCCCTGACAAACCACCGATCCCTCCTAACAAGCAACCCACTGGTGAGTTATCAAAACCAAACACACACTCCCATATGATTACTCTGCTTTTTTCAATTTTTAATAAATATATTTATCTTGGTTTATTGCACAGTGAATGTGTTCGCATCAGTTATTGATCCAAAGCATGCTAATACCCTTATAAGGTCGCTCACATTTACTAAGAATTTTTTATTTATTTGGGACTTTATGAAATTGTATTAATATGAAAAAAATAAATTAAAATTGTGTAGGCGTTTAAATCAGATAGCTCCTTTTGAAAATCTATGCCATGTCAAGCGGATTCGAAAGAAGCATCTTGAAGGAGGTACTCATTGTTGTTGTTGTTATCACAACTGTTTTACTGATTTTTTTTGTGTTGGTTTTAAGTGAACTGCAGCAAATGAAAGCATGTTTCTTTTTTAAATTGGTTTTCATTTTTTTTTTATTTTTGTTCCTAGTCAAGGAGAACAGAATGATCAAGCTTGATTTAAATTTTCACCTATGAAAGTATGAGCTCTGGTTGTCCTCCTCTTTTTTCAAGAGATTGATATTAAATAATAAGTGGCACCATTTGAAGAATGATTTTGGGAACCATACCATCTGTGCATGCCACTTTTTCTCCATTGTACTTGGGATATATATATATATTGATACATTGATGATGCAGTAGTCAAAGAGTGCTCGTTGTTACAGGAAAAACTCAGCTTTCAGTAATTTTATGTCTTGCCTCTGAGGATAACAGTCTGTTGAACAGCTTGCCACAAGATGTACAAGAGTTGAGCAATTCCTACCAGTTGAGTCCTTTTGTTACAAAAGTGGGTTGTTATTCTTTTTCCCCCCCTAATAAGATGCATATATTCATTACTAATTGCATTTAAGAACGGTCAAGACTAGTGAATTATGAACTAAACTTTAATCAATTCCAGGTTTGCAAATATGCCGCGAAATCCAAAGAAGAGTGGGAAGAACAATGCAAGCTATGGCCAACCTCATACCATCCACCTACCTAGTAAGTTCTAAATTATGCTTCTGTATTGTTTCTCATATGTTTTTTTCCTCTATTTTTCTTCATTATATTGTAAATACTAAGTTAGTTTTAAGAGTGAAGAGTACAACTGTTAAGGGACATTTTTCCCTTCTGATCTTTCATATCAAAAAGAAACAAAACTTTGGAATCCCAACAACTGCTTTGCTTCTTTGACTGAAGAGTTGAGAACCCCATTGCTGTGGCTGGTGCCACCTACAGGCATTGTTGTTGCAATCAGGGTTGTCATAATATGATCCTTGACAACTTCTATGTGTAGACCGTTTAGATGGGTTCATGTATAATGTGCTATATCAACTGGTAGGTCATTCTAGTAGAAAAGCCTGCACTGAAATTTTTCTTTTCTTAATTTTTACCTCCACCAGATTGTCTTATTCTCTTCATTAACTTTGTATCTAAAATAACTTTATTTTGAGAAATTTTATTTACATTTGAAACGCAGAATATTAGTTTGACAAATGGCTCAAGCTCCTAGTAAAAGCTTAGCCCCTTTAACTTTATCTCTTTTTCTCTGATTATTATTCATTATTCTTTCATTTATAGAACTAATTACTCTCTATTAAAAAAAAAATCATCTACTTATTATACACTTTATGTTAAGTTTCTTTCCTTCAATACACCTTTTGATTTTCAAGCTTGATTACTTCTGTTTTATGCATGCATCTATCATTTGTCTTGTCTATTTCTGAATTCACCTCATGTCAATTTCTATACATAAATCTTAGAGGTTGTCCTATAGTTATCCTCCAGTTCAATACTCATTGATCTTAAGTAGGATCCTGACTTTCACAACCTTGCTGAGCTGTTGTGCGTTCACTCAAGAGTTTGAGTTAATACGAGCAGGTATATTTAGCATGTCAAAAGTTTAGGATTCCATATTTTGGAGGCATGAACTAAAAATGTTAGAAAACTGTGTAATTGAAACAAAATCCCTGAGTTTGAGCTATCAACACTTTATTTATGCATCAATCATGTTTTTGCTATGTCTTGAGGAGCTTATTGTTATACTCATGTCTCATAGTTTGTCAGTTATTGACATTGTGAAAAATCCACAAGAGCGATGTTGTATTATACTTAAGAGCAAATGAAAAGGTTGACATAATTGTTTGCACTTTGTTTTCTCACTGTTGATGATAAATTCAATATTTGTGAAGAAAAGAGCTGAGGGCTATGATCAAGGGAGAAAGGAAATATGAATTTTGAACTCCATGGTAGATATCTGCAGCACCACACTAACCAGTCTCTAGTTAAAGAAAGTTTTATTGAGAAAGAAGCAAAAACACATAAACTCCCTCCAAACTGTTGCATAACAACTATCCCTTACCAAAAAAAGAGGTTCAAAAGTAATTTTTTCAATTAAAAAAATGCCCTTTTATTTAGCTGTACTCTTTATCTAAATTCCTAATTTGAATTTGCTGTGTTCTGTTCTTCTAATTTCAGCAATATTGATGGGATTACTGGATTCAGTGAAGAGGATTCATTGTCAGTTTTCAGCTTCATGAAAGTTGCTATTGAGTTGGCAAAATCTGGTGATGGTTTGGTAATTATGTAATTTCTTCTATAAACTAAACTTATTTCTGTAAAGGGATGCAATGATAGGGTAGTCTACTAACCTTACAAAGCTTCTACTTGGATGCTGTAAATTTTTAATTGGCAACTTTCTTTTCTTTTTTTTTTTTTTTTTTTTTTTTTTTTTTTTTTTTTTTTTTTTTTTTTTTTTTTTTTTTTTTTTTTTTTTTTTTTGCCTGGTGCTGTTGTTTTCAAGTCTCAACTACGCTGTGAACTTGCAATATGTGACATAAACTAAACTAGTTGCCATTTAATCTGAATGTTGTAACTTTTGACTTCATTTGCTCTCAGAGATACTAGAGTGTTGTTCACTCACACCTGATTCAGAACATAGCAATTGCATTTATAATAAAACATACATTTATGCTGAATCTTTGTATATTGTGTCTGAACTTGCCTCTTGTTCTTGTTTCTGCAGATTGTCAATGCAGCAGTTATAGTAGATCCTGCAGTTCAGCAGATCATTACAAATGGACGTGATCAAATCTTCTCATGGCATGCTCCCACGAACAAGACTTGCATCAGAAATGACTGCATTGAACAGTCCACGACCCTTATTTCTCATCAGTCTAATGGAGCAGCAAGTCTTATAACAGAAGTGCTTCCAAATGCTTCGCCTGGTGAACCTGAAAGTTTGTCTTATGTGGTGTCTTGTTTAAGCCCCTGGAAGTGGTCTGAACAGGGATCACATACAGCTAATTCTTGTTATTGGCACCCTTTACGACATGCTGCTGTTGTTGCCATTGAATCTTCTGCTGACAGGGACAGACACCTGTTCCCTGGTTTAGGAGATGCTGAAGAGAAATCCTTTGAAACTTCACAATCTTCTTATGTTGGTTCCCCTGTGAAAAGACAAAAGACGAGTGTTGCAAATGTGAGTTGTTTCTGTGCCCTGTTTTCGGACAGTCTTATAAAATAGTGCTTTTGACAGGTACCTTTTACCTAATTATTTGACTTGATGGGAATGGTTGGTGGACAGCATCTTATTCTTAGCCAATGCTAAAAATAATAACGACTTCCCCTTGTTTAGTGACTACATTTTCTCAAGGTGATTGGTTGAAATGGATCTCAGCTTCATGTTATTCTATTTCAGGTCGAGAAGAAGGAAGCAGATCCTCCAGACATGCCTTCAAATTCTGTACCAGAGAGACCTTATCTGTGCACTGGTTATGACATCTATCTTGTGTGGGAGCCATGTATAATGTAAGTTTGTCATGCCAATAATCCTTTTTCTTTTATTAGTTTCTCCCTGATTTCCCTCTTATGTTACTGTAATTTTTCAAAAAGTCTTCTCCAACTTCAATGATTATGCTGTCAGTAAAGAATTGAGTGCAGTAACTGTCTTGACTTTCTTTTCTTTTCTTTTTTCGTTTTTATTGTTTCTATCTGGTTTTTTCAATATTCCTTCTACTAATTATCGACCATTTTTACCTTTTAAGGTGTGCAATGGCACTTGTTCATCAAAGAATTAGACGAATATTTTATGCTTTCCCCAATCCAAATACTGGTGCATTGGGAAGTGTTCACAGACTACAAGGAGAAAAAAGCTTAAACCATCATTATGCTGTATTCAGAATCTGTGTGCCTGAAGAAGTTCTTGATATAGCTGGAAACAGCAAGAGCTGCTGATGTCAACTGAAGTGCCAACCACTGTTAGCTAACAAGATTGGTCCAGATCATGATAGAATTTAATTGAGCATTTTTTTTCAAGGAATAGGTTAACTTTTGCACCTGATATTTACCAAGAAGATGAATGCATGATTTTTCCCTTAGCAAATGCAGAAGTTCCTTACAGAGCTTTGGACTGCAGATATGTGCTCCTGAGTTCTCAAAACCAATATGTATTATGGCTTCATTTGAAGGTGCTGATGATTGATTCACAGATCGTTGGCCTTCATGGATTATGTACATTTTATTCAAACACTTCACGTGTGTTAACTATACAGTTTCTATTCAAAGCTGCTACTTTCAGAAAGTATTTCGTGTTTTTCTGCTACCATTTGTGGTGGATTAAAGAATTGGAGGGTGCTACCCCAGAAACAAAAAGAAATTATGAAACGGGCACTCTGCCTGCTAGTCAACAACATAAGATGTTTGTGAGTGTTTGATTAAGCAGAATTATTAGCCTTCATCTTTCAATTTTTGGGTTAGAAAAGGGAGCGAAGGTGCTAACCTTAGTTTTAAACCGGATTATAAGAGTTCCCGTGATGCAAATGACGGCAGGCTCCGAAAGCATTGTAGATAATGTAGTATTTGTTGAGTCCATTATTTGCAAGGTATGCAACCAATAATTTCGAAAAAACAAGAATGGGTTGCGTCTTGCTTCAAAGGAAAAAAGGATTCCTAAAGAAAAACATTTTTTTCCTTTTTTCATAAAAAAAATCAATAAATTTATCCCTTGCGTGCTCTATAAGAGTGGATTATATCTTTTCAATAAGCAAAAATATTACTCTCTCACAGGAGACATTTTTGCAGAGGCGGGCTAAACCTGACCTATCCAACAGCAAATGGATGTCTTGACCATGGGGAGGAGTTGGTGAATAACACAAAGATCCTCAGAAAAAGCCATGAAATCTGCATTACCGTTAGCGTATCAGCACATGAATGATATTCCAAGTCTACCATATCTTTCTATCCAACGCAAGTCAAGAATATGAACAGTCAAGCCAAGAGAAACTTGAAAAGATTTCATTTGATTTGACAAAAAAAAAAAATTGAATCTTTCTTCGAATTCATTTATATAACGAAATTCTTGCATGACTTCAGCCAGAATCTGAAACAGCTACAGCGCAGTACTACCAGCTCGACAACTCACTATTTCACTTGACAGCTCAAGTATCACTAGTTCAATTCCATCAGGCACGAAACCTTCTGGGCTGATCACAACCTTGCTGTATTCTTTTTCTTATCAGAACCCACCTTGTTCCTCAACTTTGCCAACAGAATTCAACAAGGAGTGAAACAACATTATCAAATTAGGACCGGATTGACTCTTAATTAGCATGCATCGTAGACTCGGTCAAATTTGATTTCCACTACATTGAGGCAGAGATGAGCGCCTGTTGAAGGTTCAAGTAGTTTTGACCAAAATGTAAAATACAATACCAGCAATTTTGTGAATGTGATTAGTGACATTATGTAAACACACAAAAAAATCACGTGTATAAAGTAAGATATCGGCGTACACAATCACCTCCTCCAACCAATTAAAACAGCAGAGAAATTTTTTATGAAAAAAGCTACAATTTCATGCAGTTTCAGCAACTCCAGAAATTTCCTATTTGGATGAAGGAACTATAAAGATTGGCTGACCAATGTTTGAGCAACTTTAATGAGGGCATTTTACTTGATGCTGCAGTGACAAGCCACCCAAAAGTACAAGGAATGGCTAGAGAAAATGTTCTGATCAAAATTAAAAAAAGACACTTTGATATCCATTAGAATTAAATTATTCTCTGTATACAGTCCATTATTGCTGCTAATAAAACCTATGTTCTCAAAATACTTTTAAATCCAAAGGGATACACATACTTTCAACACCATATATACCATATTCACCATGTTAAATTCAATTGGTGGAAATCTCGAATCCTATTTTCGACAGGAAAATTTGCTAAAAGAAAGGTTAGGAAAACACCAAGCAATTGCACTCTTATGAATGATTTTGAGATTAATTTATAGCAAAGAAAGAATGCGGAAAGACCATCATCTGTACAAAAGAGAAATTATGGCAATCATCATTCACATATGGAGAGTCAACTAAGAAAATATATAAGAAAGAGCATATAAGGATGGAATACAGATTTTAAGATTACATCACAACTCATAATCCATAATGTATAATTATAAACAAAACAATAACACAAGCCACAGTAGACAAATGACAAGCATGTGCATATACATTCCAGGTATGATGCTGTACACAGAATTTAATAAACTTATGTGATTCCACAGTGTAATTTCCAGCACATACCTCCACTATTTAATATCAGCTCATAATATCTGATGTGTTGCATTCATCCATGTGAACCACTCCAAACAAACTGGTCCTTTTACTTTTAACTATAGGTGAATTTCTTTTTCAAATTTGAGATCAATGAGTACACCCGAAACCACCACAGATTGACAGCCAAATTACAAATAGAATCAAACAAATGGCCACATCAATAGCTAGAACAATCCTTACTTGGCGCCACCACTTCTTTCGAATACTTTGAGAGCTTGTTCTAATCCTCATTGAACCCAAATCCTTTTGTAGCGATATTGAAGAACCTACTCCACCTTGATTATTGGAATCCAAAGTAGCTGAATCAAGCTTAGCCCCTCTATCAGTAGATTTTCTATGCTCTTCTAACTCAATATCTCTTATTGAAATAACATGATCCTTTGACTTCCTTTTGTCTTGCTTGTTTGATTTACCTAACAAAGGGGCTTTGGTAGAACTGACAACTTCAATTTGTCCATTTGCATTAACAGGTGATGGAGAGAGGCCTAAGTTATCAGATGAGGAACTCTCACCAGCCCAGCCATTGCCAGAGACATGCTCTAATGAACTTATCAAGCGATGAATAACAGGCACTAGTTGTTCTTGTATATTTATTGAGTTCATACCAGAAAAACTTCCTCTAGAACCCCTTCTAGCTACCTTCTTGAATTCATCTCTTACATGCTCTAAAAATCGAAGGACACCTGGGTTTCCAAGACCCTCGTCAACAATCGTAAAATAAACAAAACCATCTTCTATAAAAAATCCAAAAGTTTTTTTAGCAATCGTCTCAAAATACCACTTGTGATATGAGGGAGGCCTTTCCAGGCACCGTGCTGCCACATTCTCAATCTCAATGTCTGCCCCACTATACACATACAAGGTGCGATTACCCTTTGCTACACAGCAGTAATGGACAGTATTGTGCATTGAACTCATTGAAATGATACCTACCAAAAACTAGTCTAAAAAAGTCCTTATCTTGAATAAATTCTTTTGAGCTTCCCAAAAAAAAAAGACACAAACTATCTATTTCTTTCTCCAACTAGTTTCATCTTTAACAAGCACCTGGTTTTGACCACACAGAAGGCAGTCCAAACTCAGAATTTTCAAGCATCTAAAGAAAAGCAATTTGGAAAAAGACAATCTTCGTATATTCCTCAACCAAGTGGGCAAGCTCCAAACAAAACACAAGAAATTAGTAGACAACAACGTCAGGGTACCCAACAAATACCAACACAATTATTCAACAAAGTATCCAAAATCAAGAAAGACGTCCTCGTGCCTCTCTTCAAACCATCAAAACCAGCAAACAAGCTACCCCCAGTTAGAGGAGTCCTGCAATTAAGTCAACAATCATATTATCACAAGATTTAGCACACACCCAATAACATAAATGAACCCAAATTTCATTTAAGCCAACCCCGTATCAACTAACAGTTAAAACTAAACAGATTACATATACATAAAATTTGACCCAAATCCAACAAAAAAATTTCAAGTAAAAACATCCAGCCCAAAAAAGTTGAAAACTTTATCTAACCATCATTCACTAAAATCAAGCTCTTCTACTTCCCAGTAAATCAAAAGATGAAAAAAGATCAACCCCATGCGAATCATAACAGCTAGAATTACATTAATGACAAAATCGTTAGAAACCAAATAGATCATATGATAAAGAGTTTGTGGATAACATCGTTTACCTGTAAAATTCCAAGCGGTAGGAAAGACAACCTGCGCAGAGACGAAAGAGGTTTGGTTCGGAAGGTGGATTGAAGAAAACACAGAGAGTTATAAAGAAAGGATTCTTTTGACTGCAGCGCTGTTGGCTTGACAGTTTGACTCGATCACTTTGCCCTCTTTCTATAACTGTACTTCAATTATCCGTTTAACTTCATCTCTTTGTCCTTGTTTGTCATTATTGTTATCACCATTTTTATGTTATTTTTAATGTCAAGAATACTTTTAAAATTATTAAAAAAAAATGTATATCCTAGTCAAACTATTATATTTTAATAGCAATATCATACCCTCAAAGAATTGAAAATTCTATAAAAATTATATCATTATTTTCGTCATAATTTTAAGACCCAGATCCTAGTCAAACTATTATATTTTAATAGTAATATCATACCCTTAAAAAATTGAAAATTCTGTAAAAATTATATCATTGTTTTGTCATAATTTTAAAACCGGCCTAATTCAAGGCATAAATTTTAAATTTTAACTAGATCACTAGATTAGTCGGGTCAAATTTTTTTAAAAAAAATTAAAACAACATCATTTTAACAAAAAAAAAATTAATGGATTTGCAACTAGGTTTTCACTGAATCTTATCAGATCAACCTATCAAAATTTCAAGAATAGCTTTTACAAAAAAAAAAATAGGAGTTAAATGTGTGAAAAAAAAAATGAAATAAATTCAATTACTAAAAGAGGATTTAAAAAGATGAAAAGAAGTGCAACTTAAATTGTAAAACGGCGGGAAATATGCTAAAGTACAATTAAAAAATAATGAAACTATAAATACCTTATTCTCTCTTCCATATGGCCGAGTGCACCAAGACAAGAAAGAGGGGGGAGATTTTAGATTTTCCTCTACCAAAATTGAGAGAAAAACAGCAAAATTAGTAGGGTCATACAAACTTTAGACTTCTAAGTAGAGAGAACATTCATTGACAAAGGAATTAAAAAGAAAACAAGAGAAGAAATTATGAGAAAAAGACAAGGAGATGATCGGCTGCAAGCAAGGAGGGAAGAGCTAAAAATCTTCAACCAAATTTGAGTTGAAATCCAAATTTCCTCCAAATAAAGGGCCCTAAACCTAATTATAAAAATAAATTTAAAATTTGATTAGGAATTAGGTATCAATTTCAAAATTTAAAAATTAGACTTATTGAGTGAAATTTAGGAGAATTGCATAATTTGTTAGAATTAGGTTAATTAAAGTGTTATAAGTTGCCTTAAATATGAAATCATGTAAGAATACTAAAAAAAAATCAATGATCAAGGGATATAAGTGATTGACCATATAAGGGTTGAATGAGAGGAAAATAAATTTTGAATTTTGCTTGATAAAGCTTTGTGATATGCTGTTATGACATCAACAATGAGTAAATTAAAC